GGTTGTGCTAAGTCAGGAAAGTGTACATTTCATCGATCCGTCTTCGCCATGTTGATAATCTGGAAACTCTTCGTTCGCAAATCTTCAGCATGCAATGTCCACTTGATTGACATTCCTTCGAACATTTCTTCCCACATGAACTGCCCCACTCAAATGGTGCGCTAATGGCTCATACCACGTTTAGGCGTACATCACACCTTTCTTCGGTCCTAGCTGTTTTTGGCCCTACCACAAAACGCGTGTCAGGCTTTCCGAAGTTTCATGCCTCTCCATTCAAACCACTTAGTTCAGGTGCGATTTTACCTGTTTCGGATAGCTGGTGGGGCAAATTTGCTGTTATTGTGATCCTTTGAGCCCATCAGACGATTTTCATCTGTCACTCACAGCAGGAGCGCAAACTCAACAACAAACCAGACACCCACTTTATGAGACACAATGGGAGTGATTTGGTGCGAAGATCTTGCATACAACTAACAATAACAATGGCAGTCACAATAACTGAAAAGTCACCCCATCAACTATCCGAAATAGGTACAATCGCACCTGAAATAAGTGGTTTGAATGGAGAAGCACAAAACATCGGAAGGACAGGCACGAAGTTGTTGGTAGAGCCAAGAATAGCTGGAACCGACGCAAAATATTGTGTACGCCTGGACGTCGTGTCAGTCATCCCCGAAGCATTTGAATGAGGCACTACAGGTGGGAAGGAGTGTTTGATGAAATGTCGATCAGATGAGTACATTGTATGTCGAAGGTTCGCCACTTCATCGGACGTAAATTCAAACGAGAGAAGTGTGTTGATTAGTTGATTGGTCGCCACTACACCGCTTTTGACAACACTCTTGCAGAACTTGAGGAGATGGGAGGAAGGGGCCTTTTGAAAAATAAGCAGTTCATCCAGCAAATCAAGATAAAGCAGGGAGTAAAGTACACTAAAGATTTACATGATCTATAAACGCGAGCATGATATCACTGAGCCCATGCTTGACCGTCAAAGAAGTGCTTTCTATGCTCGACCGGGTAGCTTAATTGCAAAAACGGCTAAAATTTGAAGCAAATGCTGATCAACACAGACCCGATAGAATTCGTCACACGTCGCACGCCGGAGGTGTTGAGAGCAGTCAGAGGTGGGATTAACGATGGTATCTTTAATTGCAACCGTAACTCCTGCTCAATTAATGCAGGATGGACTCGGTTTAAAGTTTTTACTAACCCACAGTTAAATTAGTAGGCTTCCTACAAATGTCGATCAATGTACGACAATTTCAAACACACTGATATGGAACGGCGTGTCAGGATGAGAGTTAGCTTTCATTGCGATGTAGATGTGAGTTCATTGCTCCCTGCATGACTGAATGCAGTGTTTGCATGGTGATTGGTACTACTAGTGAGTTTAAAGTAGGGCATGCGACAAGTCACTTACTTTCGAAGCAATGATACATCCCAGCACATGCTAGCGAGATCCTTTGCTTCCATTCATACTCTCAAAGGATGGGCGAAAAAGCATCTCTATAATGTAGCTCTGGTCGCCAGAAGTGTGTGCTTTCTCAATTCAGTGTCGAAGGGGGGCAGTGATGAGGCACCAGTTATATATAAGTGTGAGCGAAATGCGTTAACCAACGATGAAGTAAGGAGGCTTGATTGTTCAAACTACAATCTCTAGTTTTCGTAACACTTACACTTAATTGGACATGCATCAGCGAGTGGTCCACCCTGACTTGATGAACAAGGCTTTAAGTTGAATGCTATGGACACAAATCCAAAAATGATACCCTAGCAAGAAGGTCGACCATGGAGGCTGAGGGCATTGCTTTCTCCTGAGACGTAGTGCCTTCTATCGCTTATATATCACAACCACATGTTAATGGTTGCAGTACGATGTGCTGTTTGTTACATTCTCAGTCTCGTTTAGTCTCGAATTTGGAGATAATG